CCTGGAAGCCCCCAGGAGACAGATGGCTCACACCCCAATCTAACTGCCTACCACCCGGCATGCAAGTTCTAGAACATTCCATACCACCCAGAACCCACCCTGTCAGCCCTGAGGTCCAGTGCAGCCCAGTCCACCAGCGTGTGGCTGTAACGTGCTCGCCGCCTCTCCTGGGCATGCCAGGGACCCGGAGGGTTGCGGGCTCTGCCCTTTACCTGTTCTCTTTCTCTCTCTCTCTCTCTCTCTCTCTCTCTCTCTCTCTCTCTCTCTCTCTCTCTCTCCATTTGAAACCTCACAGGAGAACCTGCTCTGGATTCGAATTCAGCATCTAAGTGACCATGGGCAGTCACTTTCTGAGCTAAACCCCCGTTGTCTGTAAACTGGCCATGAGGAGGAACCCTCCCTCAGTGAGCTTTTACAAGAGAAGATGGCATCCTCAGGGCAGGGGAGTAGCTGCTGGGAGGCGGCAGTGGCGCACACCTCTAATCCTAGCACTCGGGAGACAGAGGCAGGAGGATCTCTGAGTTCGAGGCCAGCCTGGTCTACAGAGCGAGTTCCAGGACAGCCAGGGTTATACACAGAGAAGCCCTGTCTGAAACAAAACAAAATTGTTTTAATTTCCTCCTTCCCCCCATTTTTCTAGAGATGAGGTCTCTCTGTATAGCCCAGGCTAGCCCAAACTCATGATCCTCCTCCAACCTTCTGCTGGGATGACAACAGGTGTGTACCAGGTACAAATGGCTTCTAAGGCTCCTGTCCTGAGAACCTGGAGAGATGCGGGTAAGCCCCCTTTTGTGGGGCTCCCAGGGTCAACAGCGTTGGCCACTGCTGGGACAGTGGCTTTGGCTGGCTGCTCTCGTGCCTCTGTGGAGGGCTGAGTACCGAAGTGTCAGCCCCACGCCATTCCAGCCTCCCCCTGTACCTCAAAAGATCCTCGAGCTTCTGAAGGGCAGAGAACCCACCCATCCCCCAGCCTCATCCAGAGCCTGCAAGCCTTAGGAACCATAGGCAGAGGTCGCTCCCAGGCCTGAGCTGGCAACCTAAGAAGCGGATGAGGCAGGAGGGTCCTGAGTTCAAGGCCAGTCTGGGCTACGTGGGAAGACTGTATCAAAAATATTTTTAAAAGCGGGGGTCAGGGGTGCAGCTAACTGGCAGAGTACTTGTCTAGCATGTGTGAGGCCCTGGGTTCCAACCGTAATTCTATGAAGAAGTCTATGGCCTAAGAAATCACACCTGGGGTGGGAGGGATGGAGGGTGGGAAGGATGGAGGGTAGGAGGGAGGGGGGATGCTGGACTCAATGAAAAAGCAGGAACCAGGCCCCAGCTGCCCTTGGCTCTCCCCTGGAGGGGAGGGAATCTCCCTCCCATCCATCTGCAGAGCCTCCATGACCTCATCCATGCAATGGGCCAGCAGTGTCCCTGGCAGGGTCCAGGAACAGCAGGACCTTGCAATTGACAGCTGGGCTGGCGCTTGGCGCTGGGCAGACGTCACGGGCCTGCCAATGTGGCCATGAGGCCTGAGCTCTGGCCCCAAGGCTCTGCTGCTTCTGGCAGCTTCTTGGCTCTGCAGGCATGGAGAGAACTTCTTGGAGACAGGAGGACAGACCGCTGCCTTTCCCAGCAGCCTCCTGCCTGGCTTCCATCAGGAGTGGGGCAGGCGGGGGCACCCCAGGCTTGATCTCCCTTCTGGAAAGACAAGCTAAGTCTAGGTGGGTGCTGGTTTGGCTCGGAGGGAGGCTTGAGCCATGAGTCAGTGAGTTCTCTCTGTGGAGGGGGGAGCGGTCTTTGCTGTGCCCTGCGCAGGCCGGCAAGCTCCATCCTTCGTCTGTCAGGCCCATTTTCCATGGGCTGGCTCTGGGCTGGCACGGACAAGGCCTGTAGGGGGAGGTGGCCCTTGGCTCAGTGATGCTTTCCGGGTTATGAAGGGTTCAGTGACAGCCCCCCACCCCACCCCGTGTGAGCCTCATATGCGTTCATTGCCAACCAGCAACTGTGGAGAGTGGGGGCACACTGACGCCCATCTTTTAGGGGGGCAGGTGATGGTGCAGAGGTGGTGGTGGGAGGAACCCAGCCCATTAATGGGGGGAGGGGGCAGGTGATGATGCAGAGGAGGTGGTGGGAGGAACCCAGGAACCCAGGGAGTTAGGTGAGCATGTCCGACCAAGGCTTCATGAGAGTGGCCAGGCAGGACAGTTTTCTAGGGAGCAACAGCTTTCAGAGCCCTCTTTGCCCTGAAACAGGGCAGGGAGATAAGATCAGAAATCTTAACCCGGGAGGAAGTGATGGGAGCATTCTCCTATCAACAGAAAACGGCACAAAAGACACTGTGCAATGGACTGGCCACAGACCGGCTTGTGCAAAGGTCCTGGGGTGAGGGAAGGAAAAGCAGTCCACCCTGGGCAGCGGTCCCTACCCTGGAGGTCAGAGAGACAACAGAACCCTTCATCTCCACCTCCGCGCCTGGCTGTGGGGCTGGAGGCAAGATGCTGTCTCTCTCGGAGCCTCATGGGGGGAAAATGGCCATGTCACCATCACCCTTCCTAGAAAAATGTGGGTGAAGACCTCCTGGGTGTCTTACAAAGTGCTCAGTGTCGGAGTGGGCAAGCCCAAGTGCAACGTGTCCCCCTGGCCACCCCAGTCCTGGGACACTCCTTAAGTTCTCACAGACGCAGCCCTGTCCAGCCCACTAACCTCACGCCAAGCCCAGCCCCTTCCCGATAGCATCACCTCCTCAGGTCCACACAATGGCGAGGCCCAGGTGGAGCACCGAGGCCCGGAGAGACCGTGTGTGACCTGCTGAAGGTCTCACGCCAGGGCTAAAGGGGACAACACTTAGCTCGATGCGCCTCTGAGGGCTGAGCAGCACCTCCGAGGAAGGTGCTGCGCCCATCTGACGGTAGAGGAAACCGAGGCACCCCAGAAGGTGGGCTGCAGGGTAGCCTGAGCCTCGAGGGCTGCTGTGCCATCCATCGGCATGACAACGGCCTCCCGCCGCCACAGGGCCCTGGCACCTGCCGCTCCAATGCTCCTGTCACATGACTCGCTCAGTTACCTGTCCGCCCCTCCCCCGCCCCCGGTTCCCGGAAACATAACACCCCACGGGGTAGATGCCCGTGCTGTGCATCCTGCTTGGGAATATGGGCCTCTCTGGGTGACAGACACAGCCACATTCTCTAAAATCTTCAAAAACCCGGGTCCATAAAGATTCGCCAAGTGGGTGAAAGTGCCCAGACGGCGGCACCAGCCACCTTCAAGGCCTGCGGGACCCCAGGAAGCATTGTCCCCCCGGGTTTAACAACCTCGGGTTCCCGCCCCCCAGCTCCTTTTGGGCTCGAGTTCTGAGCCCAGGCAGCAAGAGAAGACACCTCAGCCATCAAGCCTGAGCGGAGCATCTGTCACCGTGGGAGGTTGAGCCCAGGAAACTGACAAGGCTCCCAGCATGCTCTGCGGCCCATCACTGTCAAACCCACAGCCCGCTGGAATTCCCCCCCAGAAGGCCCTGGGTGCCGCCCCGGTAGGGGTTCGACCTGCGCCCGCTGGGCCAGCAACTGGCGATGGGTCAAACTGAGTCAGGAGTGGGTGGGGGCCTCCGTCCTGTCACGTGGGCCTCAGGGATCGCGTTTATAAAACTTTCTGTTTGTTTGGAGTCAGAAAAGTGAATTCAGAGAGAAAACTCAAAAGTGGGGCTTGGGAGAGCGCTGCCCTCCAGTCCCAGAACTGGGGAGACTGAGGCAAGGAGGGTCCAGGATCATAGCAGCCTCTTCAAACAGCAGTGCACACTGCGTGCACACACTCCCGGCTTGCACGCAGGGTTCACACACTCCCGCTTGCTTTGCACAGTTTGCACACACTCCCGGCTTGCACGCAGGGTGCACACGCTCCCGGCATGCACACGCCCACACTTGCCTTGCACACATTCCAAGCTTGCACACCGTGTGCACACACTCCGGACAGCGTTCCCTCCCACCGTTCGCTCTTGCCGGGACCGGACGGCTCCGATGTCGCCCTTAGTGAGTTATGTAAACGACTCTCTAACCGGATCCACTCCACACTTTGGCACTCTGCGTGCGCGGGTGTACACACTCGGCAGTTTGGGACTGTCTATGACTTCACCGGGCTCTAGGGAGGCGGGTGGCAGCGGGGGTCCCCTCTCGGTGGCTGCTGACTGGCTGCTCTCAACTCCGCAGCTGCCTCCAGCCGCAGCTCCCGGCGTTTGGGGCACCCACGGGGCACCAGAGCCGGCAAACTGAGACAGACTGGGAGACGGAAACTAACTAGCCCAAGGTCACACAGCCTTGGAAGGGCTAACACCGGCTTTGTGTGGGTCAGCAAAGCAGGTTCTGGCCGCTCGCCTGCCCAGGTCCGGGTCCACGCGTCGCTTCCGAGCCCAGGGTCAAGCGCAGGGCGGACCCGCACTTCCTTACGCTCGCCCAGCCGGGTCTCTGTGGTCCGGGGAGTGCAAGCCAGCTCGGAGGACGCGGGGCTCGGTGCCCAAGCCTGCAGCGGGAGGTGGGGACTGCGGGGAGGCCAGAGGGTGACCCCCCGCCTAAGGTCACCGCGGGCGGCGCGGCTCCTCCGGGTGCCGCCACTTCCAAACTTTCCTCCCTGCGCATCCCCAGCCGCAGACTTGCAGGTGCGGCGCCGCGCGCGCTCAGCGCTCTCCGGGGCTGCCGGGGCGCCGGCTCTCGCAGCCGGGGCCACTTGCCCGGCTCCGCCCTGCCCTCTGCCTTAGCTAGGGGAAGCTGGTGTCTCATCGCCTCCCGCCACCCACCCACCCCTCCACCCCCGTCGGGGGGTCCCCCCTCCAGCCCCTCTCGGGGACATCGCCGGCACAGCAGCGGGCGGGAACCCATTGGAAGCAACCAAGCGGAGAGCGAGGCACAGAGAGGGCCAGCCACTGGCCCAAGGTCACACAGCGCACCCGGCGGTGGCGCGAAGCGGGGGGCATGCAAGGCGACGGTCCCCGCGCGCGGCGGGTGCTCGGCCACCGTCACGGTACTCACAGCCGGTCTTGCCCTCGAGCTCCCGCACCTCCTCGGACGCCGAGTGGGCAGCGCCCATGGTGCGCGGCGGGGCCCGGGGGGACGGGGGGCGCCCCCTCGAAGGCCGGGGACTCTGCCTGGGCTTGCGCTGAACTCGAGCCGGGTGGGGACGCGGGGACAGCGGCGCGGAGCCGGTTCCGCGTGGGGCCCCGAGCGGCCTCTTATAGCAGCGGGCGAGCGGGCGGGCGGGCGGAGCGGCGCGGTCCTAGCGCTAGCCGGCTTCCCTCGCGGCCGTGGGGAGCGGGGGCGGGGGTGTAGGGGGGACGGGGAAGTGGAGAACGCAAGTCCGCCATGCCCCTGCCGCAGCCCCGCGCCCACCCTCCCAGGGTCTTCTTGCAGGAGAGTGGAGAGCGTGCGTGTGTGTGATGAGCACAGGCTAAAGCCGCCCCTCCCCTGCTCCCCGCACCCAGGTGGGAGCCGGGAGGAGGGCGCGTCCGTCCGCAGGTGGCCGCAGTTTAGCTGCTGAGTGCGGAAGGTGGGACCGGTGGGACCGGTGGGTCCCGGGACCCGCTAAGCTGTGACTGGCCAGTCCTGCTGCTGCTCTAACCACCATCGCTCCACCTCCAAATAGGGTGAGCGCGATGAGATGCTCGCCAAGGGACGCGCGTGGAGCAAGGCGCCGGGGCTGGGGGGGTCCCGTGGGATCGTGTCCAGGCGATGAGGGAGGGGCCGGGAGGAATTCATCCTCAAGGCTGCTCTGGGTCCCCCACCCCCACCCCGGCCATGCCCTGCCCAGTTCGGTGACACCCGGACGGGTCCACCTGCCAAGTCTGTACTGGCTGGGAGTGCTGGGGTCCCCAGGATCTTTCACCTTGCCGGTCACGGCCGTGGGTGGGCCCAGCTCTTTGGTGCTGGGGCCCTCAGGAGCTGACTGTAGCCAGCCCAGGACCAGGGCCCTGGCAGCTCTTACAGGACCAGGGGGCCTGGCAGAGCCGGAAAAACCCGCCCCACCGCTAAAAACCGATTACAGTCCACTCTGCTCCTCCGGGGAGCTGGGTCAACCCCTGAAGGTCCTCCCTGAGGGTCCTCCTCGGAGGTCCCCCCTGCAGCTGCCCAGGGCTCACTGACACCCCTCCAGGTCAGGGAAGCTTGACTGTGGGGCGTCGCTGCTGACTAGGCTGTAGTGCCTCTTGGGGGGATTGTGGCCCCAAGAATTCTACAAACCCAGACAGACCTTGGTGTCGGGGGAGGGGGGAGACAGGAAAGGGCTCCCCGGACCCCGGGGTGTTGAGGCTTCTAAAACATGCCTCCCTGCAACTTAGTTTCGTGTCTGCAATTCTGGTTGGGGCTTCCTGTCAAGAGATGATCTGCATTCTCAGAGTCGTGGCTCCCACGAGCCCAGCACCCTCAGCACCTCCAGCCGACAGCGCGTTTCCGGGCGGCTCGATCCTTCTGCCCAGATCCCCGTCTTCCTCCTAGACATCCTCAGAGCAGCCTTTCTCAGGGGTTTCCCTGTTTTTCCCAGCTGCTGCCAAGCAAGCCACGGGCCACCTAGAGGAAGGCTGGGGTGTGGTCGCCGAGGAGAGCCCGCCCTTCCCCCCCAGGGCTGCGAGGAGTCCTCAGGAAGCAGGAAAGGGAGCCACAGTTTAACTTGGGGTGTTCGTTCCCTCGTTGAGTGCAGGGTCCTGACTAAGCTGCAAAGAGGGATAAGGGCACCACTTTCACTCCCGATGGACTGGGAGGGAGGGAGACAAACGGCGGCGCAGAGGAGCGGGTGAGGGTGGGCGTGGGCTCTCAGGAGGACTGCAGAGATCAGAACGTCCACACTGAGCTTCCGAGTCCATAATTGTCCCCACCTGTAGCCCCACAGAGACAGATGGTTCCGGGAAACTGCGTGGGTGCTGCGGCGGCACCCACTCTCTCCCTCTGGCAGTGATGTGAGCACCCAGCAGGGCTTGGCCACACAAAGCCTGCTGCCGCTAGTCCAGGACGCCAGCGCTTTTCATTCAATCTTACCCATGGTCCTGTTGGCGTCATCCAGCTAGATGGAGGTCTGGAGCGTGACGTGGGGTGTGGCTGCCCGGGAAGGAGCCAAAGGGGGCTCCCTCCTACTGCAACACGGGGCGACTTCCCTCCCCCAGGGCTGTCTCCGGTCACCAGGTAACTGCTTCTCCTTGGGGGCACGGGTCCCCCTAGAGGAGCTAAAAGCCAGGGGCAGACAAACCTGTTTGTCTCTGTGCCCTGTGATTTGCAAGTCTGGTCCCTAGGAAACCAGAGGCAGCTGAGCCCAGAGATGTCAAGCTGGGCCCTGCCTTTGGCTCTGCTGTGGGATCCTGCTTGCTCAGTTTCCCCATCTGTAAGATGTCCAGAGCATCAGGGCGGTCTCCCTGGGGTGGCTTCGAGGGTCAAATAAAGATTCGTCTGCTCCAAGTGCCAGAAATGATAATGCCCGCATTGAACACCCAGGCTTTGCTGGTAGAGGCCCTCTAGGAAGACCGCAGTGGTGCTTGCCAATTTACACAATGTAGACATCCCACATGGCTGATTTTAAGCCAACAGTAACTCAGCAAGGAGCTTGCGGGAACCCCTCTATTTAACAAAGTTCTGCGCAGGCCAACTCAAGCCTGGCATCGTCCACCATGGACTGTGAAGGCTCCACATGTCCACATATGTCATTCATGCATTGGCTATGGAGAGCCAGGAACATGGGTGACCCTAAGAGCCCTCAGTGTGAAAACAGAGATGTGGGGAGCCATCACAGCTCACCAGATGCTGTGGGGGCCTGGAGGGAGACCAGGCAGACCCCTGTTTTGTTGGTGGGTGACCCCGGTGAGCTGAGTCAGAATCAGAACATGGATTTGAACTCTGAGCAGCCATCTCTATGATCCTGTGAGGGTGGGGGTAACTCCCCAGGTTTGCTCATGCCCAAGGGGCACAGGGCACGCTTCTTAACCTATAGGCCACTGACTCCAAGAAATTAGAAGGGACTCTAGGCGCCAGCCAGCTTGACAACCGGACCAACTTCAAACAGGAAACCATCACTGAGGCTCTTGCCAAATCCTTCCAAGGACACAGGTGTTCTGGTGCCAGACCCAGGAGGCTGGGGCAGGAGGATTGCTGGGAACTCACAGGCAGCCCTGGGGTACATAGTGAGACCCTGTCCCTGAAAAGGAGGGGGTCTGAGGCCATGGCTCAGTTAGTACTACGTTAGCCCGGCATCAACCAGGCATGGTGGAATACGCCTGTAATCCCAGCATTTGGGAAGTGGAGGCAGGAGGGTCAAGAACCCGAGGTCATCCTTGGCTACACAGAATTCAAGGCCAGCCTGGGCTACATGAGATCCTTTCTCAAACAGAGAGAGAGCGACCCCCCCCCTCCCATGGTATACTCCCCATGGCTTATGCTTGTAGCCAAGCTCTTTAGTTCAATAAATAAAGAATAATAATATTTCTTATTATCTAATAATAAAGAACAGAATTAGTCCCCACCCTTCTCTAGCCCCCCCCCCTTTTTTTAAATTAAATCACACTCTGATTTGGGACCAGAGCTCAACAAGGGACCTTAGGAGTCCCCCCACGCCATCCCCGGGGACCTTGAAACACCTCCCCAAAAGTCACCCCGTCGATCTGGGTGGGGGCCCCTCTGGGTGGTGAACTCGGACCTCTCATTCCCATCCCTAGCCTCCTCCAGGTTGCAAGGCCACTGAGTCCTCAGAATCTTTTTCTTAATTCCTGGACAGACCTCAGAGGGCCACCACTCCATGGGCCAGCGGGGGGCCTAAAAATAGGAGAGCGGGTCTCCTTGGGGAGGGCGGCTTGAGTGCACTGCTCCATTATTTACACAATTATAAATAGTGACCAATCACTGGAGTTGGCAGGGGCAGACGGAAGATTGTCCCTGGATGGGCTTCAAATCTGCATTGGAGTCGAGAGGCAGAGCGAGGTGGCCGGGGCCCAGAATCCATTTCAAATTCACTGTCCCTTCTATGGAGCTTGGGGGAGGGGGGGTCAAGGACAGGAGTCCTCGAGAGCGGGTGCACATGGGTGGGTGAATGTGGCTCTCCTCACAGCCTGGTGTATCAGTCTGTGAGGGGGCTCTGAGGAGCCGCCTCCATCATCACACAGTCCAGTCCCAAAGAGTTATCCTTCTCCCTCAAACCTTGGACTGTTGGGTCGTGGATGTGGGGAGCCAGAGCTGCAGAGAGAAGCCTTGAGGCTGTTCTGTGCGGTCCAGATGGGTCCCATGTAACCCCAGCGGGGGCCTATACAGGGGAGAGGGAGATGGAGGGTTGCAGTCCAGAGTAACAAGAGACGGGACACTGGCCCAGCCATGGCTGGCTTTGAGGATGAAAGAAGGGACCATGGGCTAAGAAATGCAACTTTTTTTGTTTTGTTTTTCGAGACAGGGTTTCTCCGTGTAGTTTTGGTGCCTGTCCTGGCTCTTGATCTGTAGACCAGGCTGGCCTTGAACTCACAGAGATCCACCTGACTCTGCCTTCCGGGTGCTGGGATTAAAGGTGTGTGCCACCACCGCCCAGCTGGAATGCAACTTCCGAAAAATGCAGGAAAACAGACCCCTTCCCCTAGGCTTCTGGAGAAATGCAAACTTCACCTTGCTGTTGGCCCACTGAGGCCCCCCGGCTCCCAGAACCAGTAGATAAACCGTATTCCTTTAAGCTACAAAGGTGGCTGTGACTTGGAACAGCAGCACAAAACAAAACTAACAAAAAAATCACCAAGTAGGGACAGAATTTGAGCCTGTAAGACCTCAGGGCCGTGAATATGGTGGGGACAAGGTTGTCAACCCAGATGGGCATTCTGCGCTCTCTCTCTCTCTCTCTCTCTCTCTCTCTCTCTCTCTCTCTCTCTCTCTCTCTCTCTCTCTCTCTCGTGTGTGTGTGTGTGTGTGTGTGTGTGTGTGTGTGTGTGTGCAGCTTGCCTCAGGTTCTTCTTAAAATCCTAGTTCCTGGGTCCAGACACGGCAGTCCAGAAGCCGGGATGTGGACATTTAAAATCAAAACTCCAGGTGGCTCTGAGGCAGACTGGCTGCGGATGTGTGTGATGTTTTCATTGATTTCCCTGACTAAAATGAACAACCTGGACAGTTCTACTTTCTTCCTGGGGCTCGTGTGACCATTGTGGCTGTCATGTCACGTTTACATTTTTCCCATTCACAAAGATACCTCACATTTTCAGCTATGACCCTGCAGTCCCCCCCTCCCTCGCCCCCCCCTCCAGCCCCTGGTACTCACCAGCTCTGGATTTCCCATGTAGATGGAATCGTGTGTGAGGTGGC